GTGAAAAATCCAGCCAATGGATGTTTCAATGCCGCTTCCAGATAGTTGCGAGGCAGATTTGGGTTTGGGAACCACTGGTGTAAGTTTAGTTAACTTGCCACTCCAGTGACTGAGCTGACAGGACACAGATTTAATGTCCCCCTTCCCTGAAATGCCACACAACCCTGTGAGCTATGAGCAATTTGTCCCAATTTACAAATAAAAATACTAAGACTCCCTGAGTGTAACTAACTTATCTGCATCAATTAACCATCCAGTATTAGAGATGGAACACCTAGGTCTTCTGCACTTTCACATCTAATACTAATTCACTCCCTGAACACTAAGTGTCTTTCCAAATTCTTGAAAACAGGACTTTGCAATTCTCTTTAAAACATGTGGTAAATAAAAAAGTGAATTAAAGGAAGAAGCTAATAAAAAATTAATAAATAAATAAAATCAATATCACACATTTTGCATTATTCTAGCTAAGCTCTCAATGTAGGGATTACTTACACAGAAATTCTTTCAAAAGAAATCAAGATAATTGCCAAATTAACCAAATATACTATCTCAGACAGGTAAAAAAATGTGTTCTCATTGCAATTGTTAGGAGATAAATTTTGAGTGCCCGCACTTTAGATGGGAGTCCAAGATAAATGGAATTTTATTTCCATTAAAACCCAGATAGGTTTAAACTGGTTATACACTAACAGACACTGACATGCCTATCTCCTCTCCTTAAGCAGATTGCAATAATCCTTTTTGATCTTTTTTTAAATCAAATACTTATGGAGTATTTTGGTGACATATAACACCTATGTTTTTGGTAACAGATTTTTACTCTATAGTCTCTGAATGATCTTTTAATATCATGGGATTATCAAAGGGAAAATAAAAACAAGTAGAAAAAAACAACACTAGATACTGAATTCAGATGTTCTGACAGTCACAAGAAAAAGAGAAGCATCGTGGAAACTGAGCTCAACTCTAACATAAAAATAACAGAATTTTAAATGAAGAACAGATAGAGGGTGACTTACCACCATTTCTATTGCTGTTAGGAAATACCTGTGACTGCATACCATGTAAGGAATACAGGTTTATTTGACTCACCATTCCAGAGGACAGAAAGTTGATCATCAAGATGCAAACATCTGGTAAACCCTCCTTGTGGCATCAACACAGCAGATGGCATTACATGGTGAGGAAGGACAGGTTAGCTGAAGTCTCACTACTTATTTAGTCATGATTGCCACCATAGAAACCTACCTCACCCTCACAACTCTATCAAAGACTTCGTTATATTACTAATAGCAGTTTTACTCAGTAAAGCTCAACAATGTAGAAAGAGCAGAGGCTTTGGGTCCAAACATCAAATCAACCACACTCAATACGAGATATGTCTACTAATTCATAAATAGTAAATTCTCCAAGTTGTTTTTGTATGTAAAAGGCATAATGCTTAATTTTAATATACTTTGGTAAATTAATTGGGAATTTTAGTCATATATGAAAGTATATGACACAAGAGGGTCCTTTATAACAGTCTTATTTGTGGTACATTTTTAAAAATCATTTAAGGAACTGGAGATGGTTCAATGATTAAATACAGATATATTATTTTTTATCTTCTGTTTACAGAAAATCAATATTGCTTAAATCAAGGGCCCTATACCAAAAATAACCTTTCAGAATCATTTCAAAACTCCTCTACTTACATTAACCAATAGTTGAAGATTATTTCAAAGCTAGGAGAAACTTTCACATTAGCAATAATTTACCTATAACTGACATCAAATACATCTTATAATTCACTAACATTTCCTTTTAATTCATTTTGACTTTTTCATTTACTTTTATTTTCATTATATTTAGATATGAACTTATTAATTCACGATCTCACAAGTATAACTACTATCAAAAACAAATTTACATTTCAGAAATGCTCTAGTTTGCCTTGCACAGTCATTGATTCTTTTATGTTGTTCAATGGCTATGTATCAAGCATATATAATGAACATCACTGTGGTTATTATGATTCTTTAATGAAGATTAATTATGAAAGAGAAAGACTCAAAGTGGGAATTCTTAGATGAAATGCATAGCCATGCAGAGTGTCTCGCACAACTGAGGCTTTTTAAGCCCTGACTCATATAGTTTAAAAGTGATGGCTACCCAAGATATTTTTCCCTACAGCAGATCAGTTTGGGGCTCTATGACTCCTGTGAAGGAGTGAGAGATTTAACTTTAAAAGATTAAAATTCTAATTCCATTATACTAAACATGATACATTCTAACATGTTGGTTAAAATTATTAGAGTAACTTGTACTATAATTGCCCTCAGACTTGGGAATAGATATCTTTACCACTGAGCCATCTCTTTGACTCTCAAAACTTTTAGCTGCTTTTAATTTTTTAAATAATTGTAGCATCATATAAGTTTCAAGAAATCTAGAGAGATCCCGTGTACTCCCTCTACAACACAAGGTCTTTCAACTGGCATTGCATTGTTTGTTAAAGTGGACGCATACAAATTTAATAGGTGATGATCTAATGAACTTCAAAAAATTATGGAGTTTCTTTCCAAAAATAATTGGAATAAGGCAAACTTGATAATTTTCACCAAATACATGAAACTATAGAGATTACATATGAAAAAGCAGAGATGTCCTGAAGGTTTGGTTCTGAACAAAGAAGCCTCCACAACCACAGATGCTTGCAATAAATGCAGTCATTGCCTGTGGCCTACAAAGCTTTTAAATTATGATTTAGTGACCTGTGGCACAACCAAAATTTATTTTTAGAACTGAAAAGGATATTAAATAACCTTAGTCTTTCCTTTTTTATTTTGAAAGTATAGTATACCTCTTTTAAAGGGATAGTCAAACTTATTCTGATATGAACATCAAGCTACACATACACATGGTAGAGCATCATATGATGACCCTTAGATACGCATTGTAATGTCTCAGTCTAAAAATGGTTAAAAATAAATATTTTACATGCTTACCCAAACTGGCAATAAAGTAAAAAAGGATGTTTGATCAATCCTTCAAATTCTGAGTCCCCATTTGAGATAAAATACAAAGGCTTTGAGTGTATCTTAGCGAATCCATTGTATGCCATAAAGTCTCCAAAATAACCAGCCAAGAATTTGATGATATTCATATCATGTTGTTTCCTTTGTTCAGCTTAGTCTCATTACCATAGCTCCACTCTACTGCTTCTCCTTCAGAAATTTTGTTTTATTGTTTGTGAGAACCATTATTCATGCTTCTCTTTTCTATTGGTTTCCTGTCTCTGTAGAATACATGTGGAATATCTCACAGTTTACTGACACTGAGCACTCCTCTTCTGCAGCTTACATACTTTTACATTACATCAGAAAGTCACTTCCTGTCTAGTTGGCATCCTCTTGTCACTAAGTTTATCAGTTTTTTTCCCTCTGAAACTCAGTTATTTCCCGTGTGGCCGACCAACATCCTTGGGAAAATGACATGTTGTCATTAAATAAGAGATTTAATGAACTATGTTGCTAAGTGCTTCCTACAGAATCTCCCTGTAGGCAAGAGAAAGAGGGAAAAAAATGAAGATATTCAGTAGTGGAGAGGAAGGAAATGGGAAAGCCCCAGGACTGGGTGTATAGAGCCATCATGATTGACCTAAATTACCTTGTTGTGTGTGAGCTGTATGACTTTATCTTCTATTTTCTAATCTATAATTGACAATGAGAAAGAAAATACCTCATTGAGGAACAGCTATCGAAATTAAAGTAACAAACTGTAAGAGAGTACTTCTTATACCATTGAAGATAGTGCTTGCCATCTTAGGTGACACACAACTCATGGTAGCTTATGTTTCCTTCCACATCAGCTGGCTAAGACAACGGGGGGTTGTCTGATCTATGGAAATCTTCTGTAGCCTCTTGAAGAAGTTTCACAACTCAGGGGAAAAATGTCTCTAATAATAACTGAAGTTCTGACACCTGGGCAAATTTCAATCCTTTTGTGTATATGGTCTTGTGTGCACAGCAAGATTCTGGGAGAGATATTGTTATGCTGCCCAGTTCTCAAATGACACTGAGACACGGAGCAGTCTGATGACTTCTGTGGTCATTTCCCAGTAGATGCAGAGCCAGGAGGCAAAAGTACATATACTCTCCTCACTGTGCTGTTCATCCTGCCTGAGCAAGCTCTATTAAAAATAATGAAATAAGTTTTAGTTTGAGGTAGTCTTAGGTGGAAATGCCTTTTTGCGGTCTACATCTAATGTTTTCCCCACAGCAACTTACAAACTTTTCTAAGAGTATCATCTTTACATACACCAAACTAAACACTTCTTATTGGAGGAAATGGTCTTGTTTCTCAGTCACTATTACCCTCCACATTATTTCTAGAAAAAAAGAGAAAACCCCTTAATGTGGAATATTGCATCTGCTATTGTAAGGCAGTGTGGATGCTGAGAAAAGTCTCCCTGTGCCTCAGCATGTCAACACATTGCTCAAAAATGAATTTATCAGTTAAATGCAGCCAAGGGATTTAGTTTATCTAAATGTGCTACAAAGAAAAAAATAGTTTACTATTGTTTTTACAGATAGAGGTAAATCTGACATATCATTGACATATGCTATGGATTTAATTTAATACCACAGTACAGATGTGGGCTCTGATAAGTTTTTGTGAAATCTAGGCTGAGATGAGTAAAGTAGTTTCAATATTTATGGGGTTGAAAATGCAGAGGTTGCAAAGGAAGCATTTTAATTAAAACAACATTTGCCTGTACATGCTCAGAGTAAGAATGGAGGGGAAACCTCCCAAAGCCTTACTACTGGTTTCCTATACTCACTGGAGTTTTCAACATATTCACACAGTTTTGACTCAGTTTGGCTGCCTCATTACTTGCCTTTTTCTTTGAGATAATACAAATGTACTGTATCGTTTCTTTTGAATTTTTTTACCTTCTCCCAACTAAGCACAGATGACTCTTTACAGCTTGCCTTTGTAATTGTGTGTTTTAGGTATCCTAGAGATAACATCAGTGGAAATCGGAGTTGTTGCCGTCAAAGCCATTAACAGCAACTATTACTTAGCCATGAACAAGAAGGGGAAACTCTATGGTTCAGTAAGTAGCTGGCTTTTGTTTTTAAAACACACTGCACTAAGTTAATACCAGAGACTCGAATGGTTTCCTAGAGGAGACACTGAATGGCTTCCTTGTCATTTGATCACTACTAATAGGATTCACAGGGGGAAGGGGTTGGTCACCAGCATCTCAATGGCCAGCAAAGCCGCTTGTTCAACTCTATAATCTACTGAGTTGTTTGCCCTTGAATCCACTACACAGGCCATTACAGGCATTTGTGAATGTTCAGAACTGCAAGCCAATCAGACTCTCACTGAAACAACTAGATGAAGTAGCATGGGGACTGAACACAACTTAGAGAAGAATTACTTAAAACAGAAAACTTAGATGTAATGGAACCTCATATATTATGAATATCTGCCATAGCTGAAGAGAAAGCTTGGGCTCAGATGTCATGTGATCATAAATGGAGAAACACATCAAGAGATTCATGACTTTTTCCAAGTTATTCAGTGAACCTTGGAATTGTACTTACCCAGTAATAGTTATTAATTCTAATTATGCATGAACATATAGACATTATGTAAAAACAAAGGAGTGTCTTCACAGTAGGGTACACTATCTACAAAAGTACAGGTACTGAAATAGGACACTCTTTCAGTATGGTCCTCTTGAGACCTTGGGTAGATCAATATTTACAATTTACAATTACAATTACAGTGTTAAGTATTTTGAATATCACCTCAAATCAAATTGATTTAGAACAGCTCTTAGACTAAATCTCATATAAATAATAGTTGTTTATAATTAAAGTTGCAATCGTAATTAAAACAGAATTATATACAGTATATCAATTATGCTATTTAGATTTTTTAGAAGAAATGTTACTTAAACATATGGCTGTCTGCCAGATATTATTTGGTCTACTTCCCAAAGATGCATAAGGAAGAAGTATATAGTCACATATTGTAATGTACAGTTGTGATCACAGCAGTTGGAAGGCTGAGGTAAGAGGATCACAAGTCCATACTAACCTGGGACATGTAGGAGAACCTGACCCAAACAAAGCAAACCAACACCTAAATATATGTGCGTGCACACACACACACGAGAGAGAGAGAGAGAGAGAGAGAGAGAGAGAGAGAGAGAGAGAGAGAGAGAGAGAGAGAGAGTTTTGACTTCAAACATTTTGCAATATGTAAGAAAAACGTCAACAGCCGGGAGGTGGTGGCGCATGCCTTTAATCCCAGCACTCAGGAGGCAGAGGCAGGCGGGTCTCTGTGAGTTCGAGGCCGGGCTGGACCGATAGTCTCCGAAACAATACAGAGAAACTCTGTCTCGTAAAAAAAAAGAAAAAAGAAAAAGAAAAAAAAGAAAAATGTCAACAATTATGAAATTGCTATAGAACAATTAGTAGCTATAAGAGAAGACCATTATAGTAAGTAGCCTTGTGATAATGTTAGAACCCCTCTTCAATCTCTTAGTTGCCTTTTGAAGGATAATACAAGCAGATAAATTGATGACTATGGATATGTTTCACAGTTTTAATCTTCAAACTACACCAAAGAAATACTAAATGAATTTAAATTTTTCTGAAATCCATTCTAGAAGAGAACATGTAATATAGCTATATAAAATTTCAATTGTATATTTGGAGGATTTATAGTAATATCAATGGACAGAAATAAAACATCTAACAGTTACTTTAAATAATCTTATTTTTTTCTGACTAGATACTGTCTACTTTTACATTTTTTCATAGCATCAAAAATAATTTAACTTCAAATATGCAAATAAATTTGCTTTCTTGATTAGCATAAGGGTTGCTGGTAGCTCTTAAACCTCAATAAGGCTCAAAAATCAATGTGAGACATTGTTAAAAGACATAAAGATGGGACCTGGGCAGACCCACACTGTGTGATTCAGAATCTAAGATAAGGTTCAAGAATTTACACATTCAATGTGGTGCCAGGTGCTGTCCATGCTGCTAGTTTAATTACTGATAGATGAGAACCAGCAGTCTAGAGATGGCCTAGTTTTGTATTTTATTCATATCAGGTCTACTGATAAGTGACAAGCCAACCATACCAGAATAAATACTTGAAATATGAGGTCAACAGGAATTTTAATTCAATTTTTTCATTGCATATTATTCCACCAAGAATCCTAAAAAGGGAATAGAACATTTTAAAAAATAGTTCCATTTAGGACTTTAAATTCTTACCACTTTTGGGAAAATACTGTTTTTGCCTTTGTTTTCATTAAACATGTGTGAACATTCCAGATAGCCCAGAAAGTAGATGTGCATGCTCCCAAGGCTAGCAACTTGAGTGAAATCTTCAGAACTCAAATGGTAGAAGAGAGACGACTCTCACAAGTTGTTCTCTGATTTCCATCTGTATGCCCTAGTACACACACAAGTGCCTGAACACACACACACACACACACACACACACACCATTACCACCATCACCAACAACAAACATTTATTTTAAAAATGTCCAAGGCATGGAGAGATGGTGGCTCAGGGGTTAAGAGAACTTGCTGCTCTTGAAGAGGATGCAAGTTTGGTTCCCAGCACCCACATGATGTTTCACAACCATGGACAACTCATATTCCAGGGGATATAATACTCTACTAACCTCCTCAGAAGTATACAGAAAAAACACATGGTCAAAACATCCATACACATGAAATAAATATTTTTTAAAGTAAAAAGCAAAACAAACAAAAATATATCTGAATCCAGGCAGTGGTCTGTACGTTTATTCCCAGCTACTGAAGACTGGAAGAGGAGGATAACTGGAAACTACAGTCCATGAGCTCAAAGCTATTTGGCCAACAAAGAAAAATATCTTGGTCTTTTAAAAAAACCAACTAAACTTGTCCAGGTCCTTTCTTGATCCATTGTTTCAGAGCCAGTTCATAAGAGGACCATTTATATTTGTGTATTTTTTGAAAAGGGACTCTAATATACAAATAGCCAAAGTCAACATAATATAGAGGTAGAGCCAGCTAATGTAATTTAGCATAAGAAAGTAAATGTATACAATTCAAGTTGTGAGGAAAGACTACACCAATTTTAATGATAAAGCATGTTCATTTTAAAATGGGGTTTCAAGAGATGAACTGTGACATAAAAATGTGCATTACTTTCTTATTCTTTCCCCCATTTCTTTCTGTGCTGACACACCTCATGTGCTGTGCAGATGCCTCGTCTGCGAGTCTCTTCATTCACTCTGTCTGAACTCTTTGCCAGGGTACCTCTGCCGTGTTACTTTAGGCTCACTATCTGAAATGTTCAGCCTTCTACTATCAGGCTGTGGCCTTCAGGAAGGTGGTATGAGCCGTCTCTCCCCCTATACACATAGCATGTAGACCCACTCAGTTTCCAGAGCCTTTATGATACATAAACCATTCTATATCCCCTAGAGGTCCCCATTAGAAAGAGCTCTCTGCTTTTTGTCCATCCAACAGCTATGTATCTAAAAAGTGTACTGTCAGAAATCCTGATTACACACCTAGTATAAGTCTGGATCTTTCCATTTCAGGAGCCATTTTTTGAACAATACTATCCTATGCTCCAAGTTTACGTTTGAATGTTAGAACTGAGCAAGACTTGAAGACGAATTAGCATTGTCCTCAAGCACCATGATTAAAAATCAAATGTCCCAAACAAGCATGGAAAATCCAAAACCTTTTTTTATTCCCCAAATTCACTTTGTGTTCTTTTTCAGCTAATTCTTTTTTTATTTTTTATTTAAATTAGACACAAGCTTGTTTCACATATCAATCCCAGCTCCCTCTCCTTCCCCTCCTCCCTTGCACCTCCACCAACTCCCCCAAACCCCCACCCAATCCTCACTCCATTCCCCAGGGAGTGTGAGGCCCTCCATGGGAGATCTGCAGAGTCTATCATCTCATCCAGGAAAGGGCCTAGGCCCTCTTCCATGTGTCCAGGATGAGAAAGCATCCCTCCATGTGGAATGGGCTCCCACCAAAGTCCATTCGTATGCCAGAGATAAATACTGATCTAATACCCAAGGCTCCATAGATTTCCAAGGCCTCCTAACTGACACCCACATTTAGGGGGTCTGGATGAGTCCCATGCTGGCCTCTCAACCATCAGTTTGTGGTTCATGAGCTCCCCCTTGTTCAGGTCAGCTGTTTCTGTGGGTTTCACCAGCCTGGTCTTGACCCCTTTGCTCATCACTCCTACCTCTCAGCAACTGGATTCCAGGAGTTAAGTTCAGTGTTTAGCTGTGGGTGTTTGTCTCTGCTTCCATCAGCCACTGGATGAAGGCTATATGATGGGGTATAATCTCATTATTGGGGAAGGGCTTTTATGGTAGCTTCTCCACTATTGCTTAGTTTGCCAGTTGGTGTCATCCTTGCCAGTAGCACAGACACTGAGATTGACAATTAATAAATGGGACCTCCTGAAACTGACAAGGTTCTGTAAGGTAAAGGATATAGTCAACAAGACAAAAAGGCAGCCCACAGAATGGGAAACATATTTACTAACCCCATATCTGACAGAGTGTTGATCTTCAAAATTTACAAAGAACTCAAGAAGCAAGTCTCCAAAACACCAAAGGATCCAGTTAAAAAGTGGGGTACAGAACTAAATAGAAAATTTTCAATAGAGAAGTCTAAAATGGCTGAGAGACACTTAAGAAAGTGCTCAACATCCTTAAGCATTAGGAAAATGCAAATCAAAACAACTCTGAGATACCATTTTACTCCTTTCAGAATGACTAAAATCAAAAACACAGCTTATGCTGGAGAGGATGTGGAGAAAGGGGAACACTCCTCCACTGCTGGTGGAAGTGCCAACTGGTACAGATAATTCTTTTATGTAACACGAATAATTAAAACCCAGAGACAGATATTGGGGTTCAAGCTTCAAACTGAAGATCAGAGAAGCAAAGCAGCCAAGCCAGTAGATCTTACCTCTACCAAGATGAAATGGCATCCTTTTCTCCACAAATCCTCAGAGGCAAAAACTCTGAATTCCTGTTTTCTCCTGCCTTATATTCCTTTCTCCACCTAGCCATATCACTCCTGCCTCTACCTCCCTAGTGCTTGGATTAAATGTGTGTGATCCCAAGTGCTGGGATCAAAGGCATTAGCTTGCTAGTATGGCTGCTGGGATTAAAGGTGTGTATCACTATTGCTTGACCTTTATGGCTTGTGGCTATCTTTGCATTCTGAACCCTCAGGCAAGCTTTAATAAATCATAAATAATATGCCATCACATTTTAAAAATACTTTAATTATTTAAGAATTTCATACGTTGTATTTTTAGCATATTCATCACTAGATCCTTCCCCTGTCTCCTTCAAGATATACCTCCTTACCTTCTCCCTCCAATTTGGGTACGCCTCTCTTTTAAAATAACCGTGGATTCAAATTTCTGCTGTTTATACATTCCTAGATGTGGGGTCATCCGCTAAAGAGATAGACTGACTGGAATCTACAACTTCAAAAAAACCTGACCCTTCTTCCTTGAAACCATCAGCTGTCCATAGTGCCTCAGTTAGGGGTGGGAGCCCATGAACTCCTTCCTACTTCATGCTAGAATACTGACTGTCTTGATCTTGCACAGTTCTATAGACAACCACAGTTTCTGTGGCTTCTTGACTGCAGTAGTCCTGTCATGTCCAGAAGTCACTGTTTTCTCCAACTCTCTCTGACCTCCGGCTTTTTATACTCTTTCTCCCTACTCTAACATGATAGATAGTGCCTAAGCCTTAAGGAGATAGGTGTAAAATATAGTTGGATGATCAGTTTGAAGACATTTATTCTCCACATTTTGAATAGTTGCCAGTTTCTGCATTAACCATAATCCACTACAAAAATAAACTTCTCTGATGAGTTCTAAAAGGTGTGCTAATCTACCATTAAAGAGACAGAGATTTAGAGGGCAACCTGATGCTCCCTATTTAGCAAAATAATGGCAGTAGGTTCACTCCTAGGGCCTGTGAGCTCCCCAACCACGAATTCGTGGCCAGATTTGTAGCACAAGGCATTTGTTTCCTCCTGTGGCATGGGTCTTATATATATTAAGAAAGTGGTGGCTATTCCCATAATGTTTGCACCACTATTTCACCCACGGAAATCTCTTGCCACACCAGTCATTATTGCAATTCACAGGGCTCACCACAGACCAGTTAGACCAATGACTGATTTTTCCAGCAGCCTGCATAATACTTTCAATATGAAATCTAGCCAGCAGGGAGGAATGTCCCTATTACTACAACCTAGATTTCTTAAACATTAGTATACTTATGTTTTGCCTACATCTCATGAATGTCTAGACTGTCCTCCAGAGATTATAGCTTTGGCACATCTCAGTTACATCCCAAGTGTCAAAACACCTACAATGAGAATGCTGACTCACACACACTTCTTTTTAAAAATATATTAAGGCACACTTCCTTTTTTTAAAAAAATATATTGTTCTTTAAATTAATTTTGGGGAGGAGAAATTAGCATCCATTAAGGATTCTCCAATATGAGATTACCTGAAATAGTTCCAATCTTCCTTTCAGAAGAATTGTTGCATTTTTCTTGTCTTTATGTATATGTGTGTACTTGAGACAGTAAGCACATACCACAATGTACATGTAGAGGACAAAATACAACTTGAAAGAGTAGGTTCTCGCTTTCCACCTTGTGGTTCCTGGGTATGGAACTCAGGCCATTTAGCCTTTGAGACAAGTGTTTAACCAATGAACTGTCTTTCTGGCCTCTTCCTTTACTCGTTAAACTGCATACCCTTTTAACAAGTGTGAAAAACAACTATATTGCTTGAAACCTGCATAGTTTTAGACAGACAGATGAGTAAGAATAAAAATTAAACAAGTTCATAAAATATTTAGGTTTTTTCCAGTGCAAATTTTTTTGTATTATTATAAAAATTATAGTACTTTACAAACGCACACTACTACTCAGTCTCAGGAATGTAGAAATAAACTGGCCATCTGAATGTACATAGGTAATGTTTCAATATTATGTTCTGAATTATTATCTATACAACAGAAACCTGATAATTTGTAATCCAGAATTTAACCCTGAGACCTGGATCAATGGCTCAGTGACTAGAAAGAGCACTTCCTGGTATTTGCAGAGGACCCAGTTTCAGTTACCAGCACCATCGAGGTGACTCACAACAGCCTATTAAGTTTCAGGGGACCAGATGCCCTCTTCTGACCTAAGTGGGTTCCTGCTAGAATGCAGCACACTCAATCTAATACATGCCTATACATGAATTTTAAAAGTAAATAAATCCTTTACAAATTGAAATTGGAAAATACAAAGATTCACGAGGTGAAAAACATTGCCCAATTGAAGATTCCATCAAAAGATGCTCACTATGCCTTTATGGTAGATAAAGATAGTGAAAACCCAGAAGCTATGGGTCCTTAGTTTCTGGACTATTCGAATTTGCATCAAGAGCAAAGGGACATTTGGTTTTTTTTTTAATGTCTGCTATTAACTTTAGAATAAGACACTGAATTTGGGAAGCAGATGAGAGAAAATTCTTGACACATCAAAGCTCCCTAAAACCACTTGGCTACTTGGCACAATGCCAAAATGCTGTAGATATAGATGAACATTCCAGTAAGAATATCTGAATGCATTTTATATGACTATATTCATAATTACTTTACGTGAAGAGACAAAACAAGGCAATTTTTTTTCATGAAACACAGTCTTACACAGCAAAGTCTGGCTTGGAACTCACTATGTAGCTTTACTTTGGATCTGCTTGCCTCCACATTCCAAGTGTTTGGATTATAGGTGTATGACACCATGCCTGGTATACAGAGTACTAGCAATAGAGTCCAGGGTCTCATGCATCCTATGTAAGAACTCTATTAAGTGAGCCACGTTTCCCCTAAACAAGGCATTTCTATATCTTACTTTTAAAACATTCCTTGAGTTGATCTTTAGGTAGATAATGTTTGTAAATGTGATGAGCCCATATTTCTGGTGATTCTGTCTTTCCTATGGAACCTATAATTAACACCATGAAAGACAAGACTGTAGCACTGTCTCCTATAGCTGGTCCATCATAAATAGTATTATTACGATATCTACTTCCTAACAATCATTCTAGGCATTTAAAACATGTTATATTCAAATCATGTCTACTTTTTAAAGGGACAGAAAATGCAGCTGTGGTGATTAATCAAAGATGAGTCACATGTTTTCAAACACAGAATCTGTTTTGTGGTTAGGAATTTTGACTATTTTGTTATTGGCATTGTATATGAAGTGAGCAATTTATGTAAAAATGGCAGCAATAAACAAGACAATGGACTGTACTGTAGCTCATCAGATGGTATATATCATATGGAATCAAGTATCATCACCATACAGATAAATATGTTTCTCCTTTGCAGAAAGAATTTAACAATGACTGTAAGCTGAAAGAGAGGATAGAGGAAAATGGATACAACACCTATGCATCCTTTAACTGGCAACACAATGGAAGGCAGATGTATGTAGCATTAAATGGAAAAGGAGCTCCCAGGAGAGGACAAAAAACACGAAGGAAAAACACCTCTGCTCACTTCCTCCCGATGGTGGTTCACTCATAGAAGAAGGAACTGTTGGTGGATGTAGCACAACCAAAGACTCTTTAACCAGGAAGAGGTGGAGTTGGTATCCTCACAGAAGACTGCAGTGGAAAAGGCAAAGACATATCCGAGTTTGGCTTGCTTAAAGAAGGAAGGCTTTGGAGGTTTCTGTACTCACTGCTGACATGTGAAGTTCTTTTCATTAGCTCTGTGTCATGTCTTATACCCAAGATAGAGGCAAATCAAATGAGATGGAAGTTATCCCTAAGTGAACAACTTTGTGGCTGGGGTGTTTTCTTCTTTGTTTGTTTTTTAAGTTTATGTTTTTGAACTTCTGAGATAGAACTTAAAGGACATGGGACAATCTGTTGAATGATCTTTGGGAAAGTTATTTATGGAATATGAACATGTATCAAAGACTTTCATTGCTCATTCAAGCCTGATGATTCAATGGGCAGGAAGACACGCAGGCATTTACTGGAAAGCTCTTGGGTCATATCGTATGCACAACCAAAGGAGCTTTGGGTGTGGCACCATGGAAGAATTGGATCAGACTTACAAATATAAACATATTAGTGTGAAACTGTTCTAACAATACAAATAGTATGGTATGCTTGTGCATTCTGCCTTCATCCTTTACTATTCCTTTCTAAGTTATTTATTTAATAGGATGTTAAATATCTTTTTGAGGTTTTAAAGAGTATACTCAGCGCTGCCCTCTGATTTGCCTTCTCATTTTTTGGCACCCTATTCATATTCATGACAAAGTGTTTTAAAAACTTAGCCAACACTTCAGAAATAGGAGGTGAGATCAAGGGAGCAGTACAAGTGCCCCACCAGTTGACTTAATTTGCACTTCTGCAATAAGAACCACCAGTGATGACTATGGCAGAGTTCTGCTATATTTTAAGGAACAGATACCTCATCATTTGCCAACATGTATCAGTCCTGAAGCTTCCTAACCTAAAACCATAGAAGGCCAAATTCTCTTTCGTTGCCTTATTTCATCTCCATGACTATACCAAAAGAAGGAAAATGAGTTGCTAGATTTTAGGCTAACCTTTTCTTTTCTTTCTTTCTCTTTCCTTTCCTTTCCTGTCCTTTCCTTTTCTTTTTTCCATGATGTCTTGCTATAGGTCACAGTGGCAAATGATGTAAAGGTTATCTGCCTATTCAAGAACCTTTTAAGTCCCACAGAATGCTTTTCCCCAAAAGGAACCAAAAGGAAATTTGGACTGAAGTGCAACTCTCCCAGGGGCTAAAACTGAGCAAATATAACCTGGTATATGTGTAACCACATACTGAAACCTGTTCAAGCTGTATGATCTAGTCTTTACAAAACCAAATAAAGCTTGTTTTCCGTACATTTAAAGTGTTCTAGAAGGTTCCATAACATAAACACATCGAAGTTCATTTTCTTAGAGCAGGTATAGAAAGCAATATGTAAGTGTACCATTCACTGTCACTTTGTATTTCAGTAAATAAACACATAAGCCTTATTTGCAGTGTCTGTAGTGATTTAAAAATGTAAAAACCACTATTTGTTCTAAATATTTTAATGGATAACTCTAGACTATATTGATGCTGCAGTTTTATCTCCTTATTTCTTGTTTGGAAAAGTCTGTTTGTTTTTTTATTGTTTGGATATAGTATTTTGGTATGAACGAAAGACTCACCAAATGTTCTTTTTACTAAAAATTTAACTTCTACAAAGGCTGGTTATTTGGGGACCTCTTCTAACATATTTGTGCTGAGGCTTAGCCAGTGCAAATCAATTATTTAAAATATTAAGTTAAATATTAATCAGTTATTCAAAAATCAGCTTTTTTGATAATGTTCCCACAGAGTAATCCAACAAAGGTCATATTTTATGATTTTTTCAAAAAGCTGTTATTTCAAGAGAAATGAACAGAGGCACAGTGCTTTGGTTTATGGGTGTAGTTGCATTTCATGGTACTTTTCTTTCAACTTGTTTTGTGACAAATGGGATTTTTAAAATGTATACTTTTGTGGTTGGATTCTGTATGTTAAAATTTAATAGGTAACGAGTCTGAGATCTCTAATGTAATGCATCTCTAGAAAAACTAGGTATCTCTTTTTTCTTTTATTTTAAAATAATAATTATACCTGACACATGAACACGGACCACCCACAACCAAAATTAAATGTTTGGGGAGACAAACTATAGTATTCAATGACCAGAGTTACAGCAAATAGGGCAGATGTTGGATTCTTATTTCACATTGCCATTTAGATTACTAAAGAGACTACATGTAAACAGTCATCATTATAGTACTCAAGACATTAAACAGCTTCTAGCAAAATGTATCAAAGCTTGCAGAGTCCAAAAATAGGAAACATCTTTCCCCTCCCCCACCCTCCATCTTTCTCTGTATACATCCTAACACAGATAAATACAGAAACAATTTGATATGGAGTTTGGATTCTTCCGCATTAAAAAACTGTATCTTTGTTTGATATTGATATTCACTTTTACAACTACTGAAAGAAAATATGTTCAGTCCTAAATGTTGTGTGCTTAGAAAAAAAAAAGCTTCAGGACTTTGGGAACTCTGCCTCTGTGGGAAGGATGGGCACTGGTCCACCATGCTCAAGTGTATCAGCCACCAATACAAGGCCCTGTGAGCTGTGAGTGCTGGCACTGAGATTCCTGAAAGATATAGAGTCATTCTCTCCTTCTACCCCAAAAGGCTGAACAGTGTATATTATGTTACATTTAAATAAAGGCAATAAAGATGCTGGGAAAGAAAAGAAAAATACTGTCCTTGTTTTTTGTTTGTTTGTTTTTGGTTTTTTTATTAGCTTAAATCTATACCTGGTAAGGAGAGAATCTCCAGAGTTGTGTGCATGGCAGGATGTGGTTAAATGCCCCACAGCCCCAAACAACAACAACAGAAAAAAATTACTCAAACATTTGTAAGGTTTCTTTAATGTCTTACATGTGTGAGTCGGCTATCCTTACTCTAATAACAACCAAATGCTTTTGGTTTTCCTAACTATTCAGGTCCACCTAGTTTACACAGTGGATAAAGAAGAATGAATTGAAAACAAGGATGGCTTGTGCAACAATGAAAGGCTTTTGGAGGAAAGCCAGGAGCTGCAAAATCAGACTTCCAGGGGATGGAAAAGACCAATGAATTTGATTTGAAAAGTAGGCAGAAAAAAAAACATAATAATGCAACTTGATTCCAGGGTCCAAGCAAGTTTGTGGACATATTTCTAGCGGATCAGTTTTTTATGACCCAGTTCTAATAATTACAATGCTGTTAATTCTTGGCTTGAGTATTTAGTAATGTAGACAAAATTTTCAGATCAGTAAGTTGCTAGCCCTGAGTTTGTTTAAATATATATATTTAATACATATATATATATAAATTTCCATATATATATGGAAAGTTAGAATTATTTAAGGGATGATCTGTATTTTAGAATAGCATGTATGGATGTAAACAAATCCTGTGATAAGAGCTCTGTCTATCTTGACAGATGACACTTTTGCAATTTAAACTAAGGTATAAAAATGATTTCTCTTGGAGGAGTGATGGGGGAAAACATCAGAATTCTTCCAGAATTGGAACACCAAGCTCTAAGCATTTGTTCTCTCCTTCATTTCCTCTCAGCTGATTGAGTATAGACTGCTTAGGGGCTGCATGCTTCCAAGTTGTTTCTTTCCAACTCCAGAACCCCAGATTTCTTCTTGTCAAGATAAAAACTTGAAGTATCCTAGGCATGACTCTTACTGTTCTGTTTTGAATAAGTTATCAATCAACTTCAGGAGCAGTCTACTGGCATGTCAAAGGATTTAGCCATTGTCAAGAGGCAGTCTTCATTCATGGAACCACAAAGAGGCAGGGTACAGTTTTTAGAAGTCCACACACAAGAGTGAAGAACAAGCCACTAAACTGAGGAGAAAGAAAGGAAGGAGAATAGTAAAAAAAATTCAGTGTTAAGTAGTACAAAACTGGATAATTTCTAGTTATGTGTGCTTAAAATAAACTATATCTTTTCCCCCATATAATTGTAATCAATTCCAATCATTTGTCATTTAATTATGTAAATTAACTTGTATGGATGTAAAGATCATCCTCTTTTGTGCAGTTTTTAAATGAAAGTAATACGCTTGTTTTGTTTTAAGCCAAGAATAAGGCCCTGAATGCAGCCAGGTTGTCCATAGTTTTGCATACCTTAGAGAATGATTTGTGGAATGAATTACAAATTTGCAGTGAAAAGACACTGGCTCACTAATAAGCATCAACTTGTATTATAATGAGGCTGTAAATACTTCTTTAAAACATCTCCCATGAACATGTGCTCGTGTTTTTGAATGCCCAATATCATTAATTGTTTTGATTGTAGAATAAAAATGGGAAAAAATGTTACCTCTTTTAATGTATCGTGTGTACATTTAACAGGAGACACAAAACTTTACAACCTGCTTCCCTCTTCCTTTTTTACAGATTAGGGAAAAACATCAGAAATTTCCCTTGTAAGTAAACAATATACTAAAACACATCTATAAACACCATGTATTAGTTAAAACAGAATAATCATGATCAAACTAGCAGGATCAAAGGAGCTGGTCTTATTTCTAAGTGGATAATAACGAACATTTCCATGAGTCTGCATCATGATAGCAGCTAAAGACAACAATTCCAAACTCTGAAAAAAGCCATATGCCTACTGCACATGCATGTGACATGTATTATTGGCACAATTTTATTACCCTCCACAAAAGAGCCTATATGCATTTTTTAAAACTCAGGCAATTGCATCCTCTAGAGATGAGCACAGCAAATGAAGAATCAAAACACCCCATGTTCCTCATTACAACTGTAAATTGAACATATGCCTTTGTACAACATAGGCAATGACCCCAGCTGCAGGATAACCAACTGCAGTGTGGCCTTAACCCTCCTAAGGTTTGGTTTTAATTACCTTATACACATCTTAAATGCCTAAATCATCTTACAATTTTCTAAATTATTTAGTTATCATTTCTGTGGTCAATTTAAGCTGCTGACAATGCAAATACCCTCAAAGAGGTCTTTCAAGGAGAAGTAAATTAAAACCAGTTTTCCATGAGGTATTATACATTTTGAAAGGATTGTGTTTTATGGTTATGGGAAGCTTTAAGGTTAGGGGGTCAATTATTAATTCAATTTAACATTAAAATCTTTTAACATATGGTCTTTAAACCAGAATCCTTAGCAGATATTTTTTTCTGTGACACAAGTTAATACTTTCAGACACCAATGGTATTTAAGTCAATATGTATATAATATGTGTGAGAGCTGTATGTGTTATTATGGAGCTTTCCAGTAAGAAACACTGAAGGATGATGGCAAGAGATGTGAGTAAAAGTTGCTATCTCATGGACTTTTCCAGATAATTTGAGTTCTGGATGCAAAATGGATTTTATATCTCCAGCTTATGCTCATGTAGAAATCAAATGAAACTAAACTGTAGTTTTAAACTGATGTTTGCAGTCATTCCTCTGCATCTCACCCAGAAAAGTTCTGCATTCAGCCCCCTACTTCCCCTGGGAAATAGTCAAGCCAGCCCATCTCCACAGGAACAGTGCACTTACCTTTCTCCTTCTTTTCTGTTTCCATGCAGCATGATATTAAATAGCTTTCCACCACGTGTTTCCTTATTAGGCTCACAAGAAAATTATGGCTTTTATTGGAACCAATAACGTACTCTACTTCCAATGGACAGTAACACTATACTGCTGTTAGGAGAGATTTTTAATGGCCATTAGCATAAGGAACCTGAGTTATTATTTGATTTGTCCTTATTGTTAAATTATTTACTTTATTAAAGTTATGTTTTTCAATCATTTACGTAATTCAGTACTAATGGGAAAGCAAAACAAATTTTAAACACAGGATCTATATTATTGGTTAAATTCTTAATCCACAGTCCCTAGAATGTGTTCCTATTTAGAAACAAGGTCATTTCATGGATGTGAATAGGAGAAATTTAGACACAGACATACACAAGCCAAAACAACCTTAGTTTCTTCAGGCTGTTGAAACAAAACATCACAACCTGTGTGAATTCTTTAGACAAATGAATAGAATATATCTTTTAATAATCATTTTTGCAAAAAAGATTTGAAAACACATATTCAAAAGGACATGGCTATAAAATAGAGTTGCATAATAGAGTTTATATATTCAAGTGAATATTGCGCATTTCAAATACAACATCAAAAGATTGTGCTTATATTAATAGACTTCATCATTGGAATTAGATGCTGTTGGGTGACTGCTTGGGAAAAAGTGGAGAAACATCCATTCAACCTAGATTGGAAACTAATGACAAACCAAAGAAGCCATTCCATCCAAGTCTATTTTGATGAACCATTGAGTATTTTTTAGAGTTGCCTATAAAAGATCTGATGTCTCAGAGACTGCAATGACACACTGAAAAGCCAACTTCAGCATGAAAGCTGAACCCCAGAGCACCCTATCCAATCTGCAAGCAGTTACACCAGAGAGTCTCCTGTCTCTCAGCAACCATCCATTGCTTAGATAACTTTAAGGACTGACCTTGTAAGTGCTGTAAATTCCAGGTTGTAGTGAGTGGTTGTGTTACAGTGCTACAACACTTCACCAATCCAGGTGAAGGGCTAAGGATGTAAATGAAGACAAACACAGCAGCTCATTCTTGCAAAGAGAATGGCATTTATTGTAACAAGAGCGGAGGAGCATTAAATACTGGTCAGGCACTGTGGAAAAAACCACCAAAGTCAGAAGCCTCTGGCAACGGATGGGCCAGTAACATGAATTAGCATTTAGACAATAAGGATGGACAGAAAACAGGAACTTGCATTCAGGCTATACTGGGAGGAGGGGACAAGAGGTGTTTTGCTAGAAGCTCCTAGTCACAAGCTGGTCAGCAGAACCCCATGGGGGAAGGGTGCAACACTGGTGCTTCTTGAGCCTTGTACATAACACTTTCCTGAGTCCCACGAAGCCCACTACTATCTTAGGGAGTGAATGGTTGTGTTCCAATGAAGCAATTATACAACACATTCTGCTAGATTTTCTCTCCTCAAAGTTGATTTCACACCCTATGCACAGCTCTTTGAACTAGGGATAAGTATTTGGTTTAAATATTTCATCATCTTATAATTAATTTTTTCATCTTTTAGGCTTACAAATTTGTTATATAGTTTTTGTGAATATGTCTTGAGAAACAATATATGAAACAAATACTTTTGGTAGTATCCCCCAACAAGGAGGATATTTTGTAAAAAATAATCCATATTGCCTGGTGTTGGTGGTGCACATCTTTAATCCCAGCACTCAGGAGGCAGAGGCAGGTGGGTCACTGTGAGTTCAAGGTTAGCCTTATCTACAGAGCAAGTTCCAGGACAGGCTCAATACAGAGAAACTCTGTCTTGAAAAAACAAAGCAAAACAAAAACAAAAACAAAAAACAAAACAAAACAAAAAACACGAAAACAAAACAACAAAAAAATCTGCCTAGCATGTTTACTAATTTATTCTTAACAATATTTTATTAATTACTTGAGAATTTTATGTAACTATAGAACTATATAATTACATATTCATTCCCTCTCCAAACTCCCCCAATAACATCTGTCTATACCCTCTTATCCCTTTCCATCAAACTTTGAGACTTAGTTTTTTTCCTTTTTCCCATTGAATCAATTTTGAGTTTCCGAACTTATCTCAGGAGTTTGATTCATCTTTGTATGTGGTTAGCCTACCAGGGA